GGTTAGTGGAAGTAAAGAAGCAGCTTTTGTTATTTTATGCTTACTAAAATAAAATACAGTCAGGTAGAATGAAATGGAGAATAGAATGAAATAGTATCGGAAGCGAATTTTGCTGGCATCGAACTTAAAACTTATCCTTGTATAACTTATTTTATAAAATTATACAAGGATAAGTTTTATAAAATTTTATGTATAAAACTAATTTTCCGGTAAATAGTTTTGAGCTAAAAACAAAAACAGTAAACTATTGGGTTGAATGAAATACGCAAAGTATTCGCTTGGTAAATAGATACTTTATTAATTAATTAAGTTTAAACAGACCAATAAATTTTTATAAATTCTTTGTTTAACTTTTAAATCAATTATTATCAAATCTATTCAAATATAAAATATGCCTTGAAAAAACTTGCACGTAAAAAAAAACACTGAAAACCAAGCCGCACTTACGGTGGCGAAAATAAAGAGTAGCGAGCCTCAACAAAGTTGCTCAAATATTTAGCATATCAGTAGCAACTCTTTATAAGCGTTTCAATAGCATAGTTAAACCAATTGGCAGTGGCTCAAACACAAGATTGCCGCAACATTTTGAATCAACTCTTGTAGTTACACTCATCAAATTATCCGATTGGGGCTTCGGTAGTACTTGCAATGACGTCATCACTTCAGTTACCGACTATTTGCAACACAAAGGTCAATCTCACCTTTTTTCCAACGGTAAATCATAGAAAGATTGGTACAAACGTTTCATCAACAAGTGGAGTCATAAATTAAACATCAGAGTCGTTGGCAATACTTCATCGCTCAGAGCCGCTTCAACGAATAAATCAATTATACAGTTGGAAATTGCATCAATGATGCTGGCAATTGTCTTGCGTCATACATTATTTATTAATACAAAAATTGGTGCTTAAGTGGTTCAAACAATGTTGTATATGCAACATCTTTGTCTGTGTGGATGGTAGATAAGCAATTTGTGCTATGTACGTTCCCGCCAAAAAATGTCCCGTTAAATAGTTTAGTCGGTTTGCTCAAAATTTAATTATTTTAAATTAAAAATTAGTTTAATTAACTATTTGATTAAATAAATCGAACTTTTGTTATCCAATTATAGGTACTCAATTCGTTTTAGTCGTAGATGGGCACTTGACACATGTTACCTATTGGGTTATACTTTTTTATAATAAAAACAATATCTTCACTGTAAAACTTTACCGTGAATATCACGGTATTATACCGTTACCCATAAACGCCAGTACTATACCGTGATTTCACGGTACAGAAACGTAAAATATTTACGGTAGAATACCGTGAATTTATATTTGAATTCCCGTTTTTCTACCGTGAAACTTTTCCGTTTTTGTACCGTAAAATCACGGTAAAGTACTGGCGTTTATGGGTAACGGTATAATAACGGCCTTTTGCTCCTTTTAGTCGGCGCACGGAAATTTTTAAAAAACCCTGTTTATTATATAAAGCAGCAATAACATCGTATTAAGCGAGTAATATCAAAACAATAATGACAAATTTATCTGACAGTGTGTCTAGATTAGTCAAAATATATTCATGTGTATACACAATCTATCAAACATAAAATAAAAAATCAAATAAAAACACGATATATGCATTTACACACTCTAATATATTATATTGTAATATATAATGTATTGAACTACATTACCAAAACAGCCATTATATATATATATATATATATATATATATATATATATATATATATATATATATATATATATATATATATATATATATATATATATATTTAAATGAAGCTAGCTAATTTCTGCATCATTTTTAACACAGTTCTATTGACAGTCATCGCCTTCTTTGTGCATCGCGACTTCGATCCCTTTTCAGGATTGATTCCAAAAAAAACACTAAAAGCAATGAAACAGAAATGATTTCAATTTCAAGTTAATATTTTTTATATTTATTCATAACTAATTTTTAATTGAAGTTAAACTTTCTTAGCAAGTTTTATCTCAATTTTAGACACAATAATGAAAGAACAAAAATTTATCTTAAATAAAACATATATTAAAGTTATAAATATTAATTAAAATAAACAATATAATTATAAACAAATAAGAAAAATATATAATTATATAAAAAGATAATAATTTACCGCTGGCAAAATTCTAAAGTTTTTGATACTTCATTTGGATAAGGAATGTTGAATACATAATAACAAGCAAACAAACAACAAAATGCTTTCGTAAAATTTGTAATGTTCTCTACTATTGGAATACCGTCAACAAGTAGAACGAACCTTTTTGCTGTCAGCAATGCATCTCCTAAATAGAATAGATGCACAAAACGAAAGAACTTTAATTTAAGAAATAAATTTTTCAGTATCTTTCAGTAAACTTTTAAACTATGTTTGCAACTAAATAAAATATCATAATAAAAATTAACACAAATTGATTGAAGTATTGTATAAAAAACTATATATATAGTTCATTTAGTCTAAGCTGAGAAATAAATATTTTTAAACTATAGTTTAAAAATAAATTTAATTTAAAAATTATATGTACAAATAACAATATTAACTATTTTATATATGGTATACATACTTTTAAATAAATAAATTTATAACTGATACATACCTAAAACACACAAATGAGGAGTAAGAAGTTGACCACGTGGAACTTCAGACATGTCAGTTGTTTCCTATTGAAAATTTAAAGTAAAGCATTAATCGTGTTATATATATATATATATATATATATATATATATATATATATATATATATATATATATATATATATATATATATATATATATATATTTGAAACTAAAAAACTATTAGAATTGCTTTTACTTAGTTGCATACAAAATCAAATATAGTATTACATAAACACACAGTTTAAATTGTGTGTGTGAAACTACATAAATATCATGTAATATCACAACTACTAGATTAATTTTATGCAACTAATTTATGAGACACATCCATACCTCATAGAATGCACTACCTGTATTATCAATATAGCTACGAAAAAATTGAAACACTGTTTATACATACATCCATCAACAAAAAAAGACAATGCAACTTTTCATCAAAAAGAAAGACCAATGCAGTCATCAAGCTAGGAGCCACAGGTAGATCAGAAGCAGTTGCAACTTTTAGCTCATCCATTGATTGCATAGCTTTTTTTATGTGTTCATTTGTAGATTTACAGTTTAACAAAAATGCTGCTAATTTTTGGTCAGCTAATGAAGTTGTTAATTTTTCAGTGGCTTTTAAGCCACCCATCAACACATCAAAGTGATTCAGTAATCCGCTCACCTACACATTATTATTGCATAACTATTCAATTATACATGTATTAAAAACTACATAATTATTAAAAACTACATAATTATTCAATTATATATGCTCAATTATATACAGGTATTAAAAACTAAACTTACTAAAATCTACATAATTATTCAATTATACATGTATACTTATTCAATTATATAAGAAGTTATACAATTGAAAAACCTGTCAAAATGAAATGAAATTATTAGATGTAACAAAACAATTAAGTAACTATTTTGATGTTAGAATATGGAATTAAGATAAATAAAATAAAATCAAGTATTACCGTAAACAGCTCTGGAAACTGTTGCATCAATTCTGGGAGCAGAATTAAGTTCCCATTTATAGCACTTCGCTGCAACCTGTACAGTTTTTCAGCTGGAGTAGACTGTGAGCTAAGCAATCCTGTACATTCCCAATTGAGACATCCATAACTATCTCTCTTTCTATTCATAAAAGGATGTTTTTTTTCATCGTCTTCAGCAGATACCTTTTCTACTTCAAAATCCACTTCTGGCAAAGCACGACGTGGGCGCTGAAGATAATCATAACGATTGACTAATTGTAATGTCAGACTATCATGACCACTACCTATCAAATTACCATTGTATTCATCCTTCAATGCTTTTGGATATTTTAAAACAATTATGGATGCAATAATATCCAAGTGTTTTTTCAACGGCTTTAGACAAACTGATCTAACTTCGTCCAATACTATCCGCACCATTGCCGTTCTTTCTGTTGCACTAAGACGTTCACCGGATTCTAGTTTTTCAATCGTTTTCTTATCTATTTTTCCCCATGGTACATTAAACAACATGCACCAATCAGAAGGTCCAAAATAATTTGATGCCGCTAAATTCAAACTCAATTTAATCAAAATAAAATACAACTTAACATGTAATCGGGAACAAACCATTCAAATAAGATTAAATAAAATAGTTATTATAAAATTTACATATAACAAAAAAAAAGTGATTATAAATATGTAAGTTACTTACCAGAAGATCCTTCTGCTGCTAAAATTTCAGTAGAAGAGCAGGGTATACATGGTGACGACAAAGTCATCAATGCTGGTGTCAACATGTTGGAATCAGCTGTAATGAAATGGTCACAATAATCACTAATAATGTTAACTATAATCAACTAAGAAACAAAAAATTAAGCTTGGCATAAATTTTTCATTAATGAAATGATGTACTTAAATAAAAAAATTATTTTTAAAATCATAAGATCATTGAACAAAATAATTTATTTTTCATACATTATAAAATATATACTTCCATTAAGAAAAAAACAACTTATGAATTACAATGACAATGATGAAACAAATTAATCAATGCTATAACACAAGCATGCATGATATACATCCTATGATAGTAACATTTTTACTTTGGATGGTTGGGTAGCAGTATGATATTACATAATATATAACAATATATATTATGTTATATACTAAGTAATATCATACTGCTATACAACCATTTAAAGTAATATATTATATAATATATTATGTTATATACTATGTTATATCATACTGCTACACAACCATCCAAAGTAAAAAAAGTTTATATTACAAACAAAACTGTATATTTATATTTTTTCTAACACAAACTAAAACTAAAAAGTTTTGATCACCTACCCACATTATTTGATAACCATGATTGAAGTAGTTTTCGTTTTTGTATTGGTTTTAGGCCAAACAAGTCTTCAAATGTAACTAAATGAAGATCTGCTTGAGTCTCCACTCCAACATCCAGCTCCAAACTAGTTGCAAGTTGCTCTAATAAAGTTGCATCTATAGATGGCAGGATTCTAATGATGCTGGTTTTAATAAATTCCATCACCTACACAAACAAAAAAAACTGTTAACTCTGTAATGATTTAATCCTATATAAGAGAATAGCGCAAATGTATCAGGGGTTAATTAGGTTAATTAATAAATTATCAGGGTTAATTTATAAATTAGGGTAGTCAGTCAGTTTAAAAAACAGAAGAGATTTTTTAACATTATTGTTATCATGACTATTTAAAAATTTAAAACTAGAAACATTTAAAAAAATTAATAGTTGAAATTTTAAACAAAATATTTTATAAAAATAAAACATTAAAAAAAAAAAATGATTTGAACTAATATTTATTAAATTATTATTTATCTGTTCTCAAATCTTGACACTGAACATGACACTGCATGTTTAAGTGAAACCATTTTTCGATGCTGGTATATGTAAGCTGGTAACGGCAGATAGTCAATTAAGCATGGCAGTGCAAGACATATAATTTTATCTGTAGAACCAAATATTTCATATAAACCAAGTTCATGGACAAACTCAGTCTTTTGAATCGCGACAATAACCCGAGGAATGCTACAGCTTGGATCTATAAAAATAACTATTATTTTTCCAAAAATTGGAAACTCATAATCTTTTGAAAACTCACACAATAAAAAGAGATTTTTCTTGTAATGTGTGCCACGAAAAACAACATGCGTTGAAACATCATGCGGAAACTGACCACATGTATTTAATATTAAACTGTTTATTAAAGAATTGAAATTTGTTCCATTAAACAAGAAGGAATCAATAGAAAAATAGTCCTGGGTTGTAATGCTTGAATTGTTGTATGCTTGCAGCAATTGATGGGTGCTAGTCAATGTTTTGCATAAGTGTTTATAATTATGGTAATTTCGAGCACATCGTTTAAAATAAGAATGCTTGCTCTCAAATCGCAGTGTAAACACACGTATGAGAGGGCCATATCGTAGTATAAGCTGTGGGTAATGACACAAATAGTGATGTTTAGGTAAAAGTTTATTATCAGGAAACAGTTCCTTTCGTCCAGACAAATACTCGTGTATTAGTGTCTTTAGGTATGCAATATGTGCAAGATCAATCTTTGGTGAACAAACCAACTCCATAATTTGTTTTAATTTAAGATACAGTAACCACACAGAGTCCTCATAATTAGTTACATATGATCCAATAATTATGGAAAACAAACGCAAAAACACCCAGTTTTGTACTGCATGGCCACTTAGCTTCTTTGTGCACGATATTTTGTTAACTTCACATGGTTTGTCTTGTGCATCATTTTCTAAATACTTAAGTAGATTTATTCTTCTATTTAGGTTGTTATAAGAAAACCATCGCTTAGTAACAAAATACTTAATAAAAAGATACATATCTTGTGATACTAATCCTTCAAAACAGTCATGAGCTAGACATGGTGGCAAACCAGTGGAGACATGAAAATCACTAATATCATTAAAAGGTGACTGAAATTTGACGCCTTCAAAGTTGTTTAAACCACAGTTTGCTAGTTCAAGCAAGCTTCTATTATGTATTTCTTTTGTTCTTTCAGGGCCACAAAAGTGAGGATTTGTATCAAATTCGATACGTGTCACTAAGCAGTATCGACAAAAGTATTGAGCTGTACTGAAATTTTCACAAAAACCTCCAATAGCATGTGATCCAAGATTATCACCCAGTATACATAGAAGCTTTATTGTTAATGTCAAGGTGTCAGAAAAAGCAACACCAGACATTGAAATTTCCTGTAAATTAGACAATAAAGGAGCAAACACCTTCTTTAAGCCAAAAAACTTAAAATCAACATCTCGACACATAAGCACTAATTGTAGTTGATCGGATGTGTATCGTTTTTGGGACGGAATATTTGCTAATGTCAGATAAACAGCTAGTGTTTTATGTTTTTTCTTTCCTGAACCAATAGGATTTGTAACTTCAAAGGAATCTTGGAACAACATGAGGTATATTATCTTTTCACTAGATATTGCAATTGATTGCATTAGTGATCCACTAGAAATGTCTGTAAATACACCTGAAGTACTACTGTGTTTCAGCCAGAATCCAGTATTGTTGCTGTGTCTTGAGTACAGCATACATATCAAATCTTTTATTGAAACATATTGGGCTGTTCTAAATTTTTTATTATTATCATAGCCTAATGCAAATTCAACAGGCTTTATGTAAACCATATTTTTATGGTAAAAGGTTTTCCTGCTTTTTACACTGCGCAAAACATGCAAAGAACTTTTTTTTTTATGTTCAATATTGATTAATTCTTTAAGAACATCATCTCTAACATTGATAGGAAGACTTGACGTTGCAGATGATAGAGTATGCAACAAATACTCAGTACTGTAGTTATTAGCAACTTCAAGCTCATCTGCAATGCTTTGAATGCACGATACTGGTAGAATGTGTTTCACTTGTAATTTTAAAAAAAACATTGCTTGACATTGCACATAGTCTTCCAATGTAATGCTTTTACCTTTATTTAAACTTTCTCTAGGGCACAACTCAGGTGGACTGTAATTTTCTAAAATTGCTGCATGGTTGTCATTATTAACACTATCTGGGATATCTGGAATGAATGTTAAATATATTGATTTTATATGTCGTGCATCCCAATTTTTATGCTTTCTTGTCCAGTGAGATGCTAATGAACTTCGATTATTAAGAACTGTATTGCATTTTACAAATGGACATACAATTTTATCATGTGAGTCACTATGAGTTTTTAGGTGAATAAGAAATTGAATTAATCCTTTACATACTTGTTTGCATAACGTAATGCCACATGTAAACAATATTTCACTGTCTTGAAATTTTGACCAAGCAAGTGTACTAACTGTTTGATTATTATGAGCAGTTTTTACATGTATTTTGAAAGAAGAGTAGCTTTTAAAATTTCTGTTGCAATTGTTGACACAAGGAAAATATATGTTTGCATCATGACGGTGGCATGAATAATGAGTAACATAAGCTAATAAAGATTTTGCTTGTAGACCACATATATGACACTTTAACTTTAAATTTTTATAACAACTTTCACGTGGAGTTAATTGTGCATAATTGACTTTAGAATAAACAGATAAACTATTTTTTGTACTAAATCCATTTATACTATCAATGTCAATAACTTCAATGTTTAAAGATGTTAATTCAAATCGAACTTCATTAGAATCTGTTAAATATCTACTGTACTGTTTTAAAAAAATGTACAAATCTGAAACAAACACAAATTTTATGACCACAGCAGTTCCTTCACTGGTCAAAAAACCATGACAGTCTCTACTATGTGAATCAAAAAGAAGAAGAAAATTATCAAATTTGAATATTGCAACAAAACTATCTTTTATACATAAAAGACATGTTGGAGACAGCTTAAATGCATCATCAAAAGCATGTTCAATTGATTTGGTACTGAATAAATTGACATCATTTTCTAATTGCAATAAATTACCAATTCCTATGTCAGTAATCTTGAGCATATTTTTTTTCCCAGAACAAATTACATGAGTTGGCAAATCATTTGGCAATAAATAATCTGTATTTATATCATTATCTCGAACATTTAGGTAAAGACTGTCTCCTTGCTTCAAAATATTATTTAGATCAATACTTTGTATACCATAATTCGTTTTTATTTTATTCATTGTATAACACAGAAATATAACTGAATTTGTTAAACATTGTTTTCCTCGTGAAAAATCTGAAAAACTAACATCACCTTGATGTAGAGCTGCAGAAATACAAGTATTTTTTGTTAATTCTGTCCATATTGGTCCAGTAAAAACAGAAGGTAATGACATTTTATGATTAATACAACTTTACAGAAATTTAATACAATTAAATATTACCAATATTATGTATTCAATATTACCTTGTGCACCAACACAAGTTAAAATAGTTAATTGCACAAAAGCTCTTATATCAAAATTGGAATGCTTTTACTTATACTAATAACTTATTAAATAAGTTTATTATTAAATAAGTTAATAACTTAGTTATAAAACACAAAATATTAAATATTAGCGAATTAAAAATTAGTCTAGAGTAATAATATTGAAATGCAATTATAATTTAATTACAGAGCTATTTTGTCATGTGATTCACATGCTGACATATTAAAATATGTAAAAAGTATGTATAGAAAATTAAAGATAACAAATTTCAATTTTAATAAAATAATAAACATGCTTTTACTATACGATAAGTGTCCACATTTATCGTATAGTAGAACTTTACGGTGATACCGTGATGGTGCAATAACGGTGTAATGTCGTAAACTTTACAGTATAATGCCGTGAAGACACTATTGGGGTAACATACCGTAAAATGTCGGTAAAGTACCGTGAATTTCACGGTAAAGTTTTACAGTGTTGTTAATTTGCTTACCAGGTTATTCGTTACATATTCTGCAGCCACTAGGTATTTATTTCAAAACAATTTTTTATTAGGAGAAGCAATGCAGACATGCTAAGATGCGAAGGGGTGTGTCTCAATAATATAAAATATTCGAAAGGTTGAAAGATGATGACAGCAAAAAAACAGCAAACAAGCTAGAAAACAACGTAACTTTGAGTTTGATGATGAGCAGCAGATAAATCTATCAACAACAGTGACTCCAACAGCAACAACAGCAGCAAACCAAGTTAAGTGTGAAATGTATCGTAATGTTTTAAGTGAAGTTTCACCTTGTCAAAATAATGAATGATAATAGAGATAAAATTTAAAATGTAAATTTTGGCAATGTCAAGCATGCATTTCAAAGCGATATATAATAGGTATTGAGTTTTATTGCACCAAAAAGTGGGCACAAGTGACAAATGAACTCCAGAAAATCTTAAAGACTCAACTTCATCACATAAATAAAAATGTTTTCTTTATTAATTGTTTTTTTAATTGTTATTACTGGTTGTTTTTTAAATTATCATCACTAGATGCATTTATTAATAAAGTATTCTTTTAATTATCCATCAATTTGCATGTTTCATTTTCCCCAAATATGAGGGTAAAATAAGAGTTTTTTTTTTCAAGTAAATAAAGTTTCTTAAAAACTTTTTGAAAAAAATTATTTGATTTTTATATATTTAAATACACCTCAAAGTTCTCCAGAACTTTAAAAAAAAAAGAATTAAAATGTCTTTTTTTTTTTACTCCAACTCTTTAGAATTTTTTTTTTTTTAATAATTGGTTTTCTTTTTTTTTCATGAATAGGTAAGATTGTGTCATAGATGGTTTTAAACGTTTTAAAAAAAATCGGCTCATGCTCAAAGGCGATGTAGTTAAATGTAAGCGATGTAATGTCAAAAAGATATAATTTTTTGTATATGAATTTTTTATTTAATATAAGTTGTATATTTAGTATACATGTAGCATATTTAGTATATATATTGTATATGACTTTTTTATTTTATAACCCAGTTATCATGAAAAACACTTTATTAAAGCATTTACAATGCTTTATATATGAAGAAAAAAAATCATTAAAGTTGTATGACTTTTATGACCTTTTTAGCATAATTTGAATAAAAAGACAGATAAATTTGTTTTAAAATAATGTTATTTACTTAAAACATCAAGAAATCCATATTTATATACACTCCTATATATAAATGACCAATTTTAGAAATATATGCTATCCTCAAATAAATCTCTTTAGTTTGAGAGAACCAATAAGAGCAACGACAACTTAGTCATCGGAAAATAACTCCTGTTTTATTGTGTTAATAAGACGGAAAAAAAATCTAAACTTCTATATAGTATTTGTGTTAATAAGCAAATAATAATAATAACAATATATTTCACGGACAGGTGGTAATCCACTGTTATTCAGGGTGGTAGCCCTCCTATCGATCAATGTTTGTGTTCTGCATCAAAGACACAAGTACTGTTAGTGATATACTCCAGGTAATCAACTTACCTGTAAATATAAAATCTAATAATCGTCTGACTAATTTAGCCATACATTTAAACATTTTATAAAAAACAACCGTCCTGCTCCCATTACAATAGAATTTGACTCAATAGATGTTCGTAAGAAGATAATCTCTTCAACCAAAAAGTTATGAAACACAAAACATAAGGAAACCTTTATCCGACCTGATTGTACTCCATCAGAGCAAGCAAACTTAAATAAGCTAATTGCTGAAAAAAATTTGAATGAACAGCTCAAATTCAACCTAAAACTTGATCAGCCCTTTCGATATGTTGCCCGCGGAAATACCGTTCGCTTATCGACGTCACCAAAACAATTCATGGAGTCAATAAGCATCCCTTCGTGGACCAAAAAAGAGCTGCAGATGCAAAAAAAGTTAAAACTGACGAATCTTTGTAAGCATTCACGTCAATCACAAACAATTAGAGCAATGGCCTCTAAATCATATAAACTATTAGCTACGGACCCAACAATTAAAAAAAACTAATTATCTGTCAGTTATCTAAACTATTTTCATACAAATGCTACATCATTGAACCACCAAAAAATCCAAGAGCTTTTTCTAACTTCTTCTAATTTTGAATATAATGTCATATTTATTACAGAAACTTGGTTTAATGAATTTTCAGCACCTTTTTTTCCTAATTACAATATTTACAGAAAAGATAGACCTACTCACGGTTGAGGTATCACAATATATGTAAAAAAAATTATAGCATAAATGAATGCACAACATATAAATTGCATAAAGGAATTAAACATTTAGAACAACTCTGGCTTAAACTGATATTAAATAAAGAAACTCTTTTTATAGAATGCACTTATCGCCAACCATATAGCAGCGTATCAACCATCAACGAAATTGCTAAATCCAATTCATATTCAAAAATTTTTATTGAAAACAAAATTTTCAAGGCCCTATTATTACTGGGGATTTTAACTTTGCAAACATCAAGTGGAACAAAGGTTAGTTAAATACAAAAAAACGGTGAAATCAGGGACGCCAAATTTGCTAATATTATTTTTGAACTCCATCTCCATCAAACAAACTTTTACACAATCCAATGGTTCTTCAAAAAATACACTCGACCTAATAATCAGCAAATCTGTTGATTGAATTAATGATCATCTTCATCATGAGATCATCTTCGGTTAAATCTCTAAAAATAAATCACAAGATCAATGCACTTTGTCCTGGCAGTTATCATAATTATCAGTTATCTAATGCTACTATCAGCAAAAATCTCTCTAGAAATTCTGAACTTGTATACAATAAAGGGGATTAGAATGCATTTAATTATTATCTTTCCAATTTGAAATCGGAAAAAATTTAGACGCAGGTGAATGCTTCCAACTTTTTTGTAATATCTACAAGACATGCTGCCAAAATTTCACCCCTTTATTACTTTAAAAAAAAAAACGCAAACTACCATTGATAACCCGTGAACTGTTATTCTTAGTCAAACACAAGAGAAAGCTCTGATTTCTTAACGTTAGCAGTACATGGAAAATTATTTTTCTGGTCAATCAGTACAAAAAACTCGAAATCTGGTAAAATAAAGCAACTCGTGATGCAATCCGTACCTATGAAATTAATTTATCTAATGACAAGAAAAACCCAAAAAAAAAATTGCTTATATTAATAGCAAACGCACTGTAAGCAACCAGATTGTGTCATTACAATCTATGGATGGTGAAATTAGTAACGACCAAGTTTTTATTGCCAACACACTAAACAAACAGTTTCAATCTGTCTTTACCGTTTAACTTCACAATCAAACTTTTTTACTAAACAAACGGCTGTATCACTTTTTTACATCTCCTTTGACTATAAGTCTGTTTCAAGTCACTTCGTTACTCTTGATGGTTATAAATCTATATGTGAAGATAGTCAGATAAGTCCTTTCGTACTTAAGGCATGCTCTAACCCAATAGCAACTCCACTAGCCATGATCTACCAGAAATCAATGGAACAAGGCATCTTACAAAAAGTCATACCTTGAGGTAAATGTGACTCCTTTGTTCAAAAGAGGTTCTAAAATAAACTCAAACAGTTACAGATCCATTTTCATTACTTCTGTGCCATGCATAATAATTGAGAAAATAGTTAAAAATAAGATAATACAGCATCTACTGTCTCAAAATCTTATATCAAATTGTCAGCATGGTTTTATAAACAAAAAATCTTGTGTTACTAATTTATTTGAAACTATAGATTTTTTCGACCAACAATAAATCACGTAAGCTTCCTGTCAACATTTATAGATTTTGCTAAGGCGATTGACAAATTTCCTCACACTAGACTGCTACAAAAGTTAAAATCCTATGGAATTGAACGTAAAATTTTAAACTGGATTAAAGCGTTTCTTTCAAATTGTACTCAACGTGTCCAAGTTGAAAATGTAACATTAGAATAGGAAAAAGTTATTGTGACTTTCCTCAAGGCTTAGATCTTGGTCTAACGCTTTTTCTATCTTCATTATTGATTAACCAGAAAAAATTAGTAGCAAAAATATATGCAAAATGTATGCCAACGACACAAAAATCCTTAGTGTGGTCAGCACTGAAGGACAAAAACTTTGTTTGCATGCTTACATTGACAACATTGTTATTTGGGTTTAATAATAGTTTATGGAAATAAATATTACGAAATGTAAAATAATGAATTTTAACCAATTCAAATCTGTTCCCCATCAACATTTTATTGATGACCATGGCTCAAAAAACAGTCTTAACAGAATTCAAAAAAAGCTATATACACTTATATACGTTTATAAGTGTATATAGCTTTATATACACTTATACAACTCTTCATTCCAGTGGAGTTTGAAGACTTTTATGCTTAAGTAATAAACTTCAGCATAAAAGTCTTCAAACTCCACTGGAATGAAGAGTTGTAGTTTCTTTATGTCTGCCATTTTTTCAATCTTTATTGG